TTTAGGGTTTAAGGGTTTAGTGGTTTAGGGGTTTACTGTAGGGTTTAGGGGCTTAGGGGTTTTAGGGTTTAGGGGTTTAGGGTTTAGGGGTTAGGGGTTTAGGGTTAGGCGTTTGGGGTTTCGGGTAAACATGGTTTGGAAGTTTAGGGTTCAGGAGGGTGTAGGTTTCGGGGTCTTAGGAAGGTTTTGGGCTTTAGGGCTTTAGCGTTCAGGGCTGGGGGTTTCACGGTGCTGAAAGAACCTGATTAGGCTTGTTCTTGGGATTTGGGGACTTGGTAGTGACTGGTAGTGCTTTAGGGGTTAGGTTAAGCCCAGGTTTCGGATGAGCTCTGCAGAACAGGTCACTCGACTTCGCGAGCGTCTCGCACATGTTCAGCATGACCTCAAAGGCGCAGCGTCCCGCAAGCGGGGACCCCAGAGGTTTAGGGATTAGGGTTCAGGACCCTAAACCCTGAACTCTTCTAGATAGTGGATGCTCCGCTGGATGGAAAAAGGCGTCAAAAAAAAACCTAACCCTAAACTAAACTTGACCCTGAACCCGTAAACCCTAAACCCGACCTACCCCACCCTACCTGCCGGGCCTCCGTTGAGGAAGGATGCCGAGAAGGATATCGCCGAGCTGGAGATTGGGATGGCGGCCTTCAAGGATGGATGTCTTGGATGTTAATTATAGACTCCATATTGCACAGTCTGTATATATATATAGACATACATATATATATATATATGTATATGTATATTATAACATAAAAGATAGATTTCCTGAACGGATCTGTGCAAAGTACACACCACGGCTGCCAGGAAACGCTGCATTTGCGACAGCTCTCCGTCGCCGAGTTGCGCAACAACAAAGACGAGGCCGTTCGTGAACGTGCGCCGGAGGGAGCTAGCCGACGGATGCAAATGCTTGCCTAAGACCTAAACCCTGAATCCTGAACCCTAAATCCTAAACCCTAAACCTTAAATCCTAAACCCTAAACCCTAAACCCGCCTTTGGCTCCTGGCCTCAGACGGAGCGACAGCTGGCGCAAACTTTGCGGGAACGAGAGCTTTTTCGAGAGAGCGAGGACCTCGGGCTTGCGCCGATCGCATGCACAGAATGTTTTCAACACAAAGTCGACGACTGTAAGTGTTTCCACCAGACATAGAACTTGTAACTCCTTCTTCACCCTGTCTTTTACAACGGATATCAATAGACCCGCAGACGAAGGGAGCGACAGGGCCTCCGAGAGCCCATCGGAGCCTTCATATTTCAGGAGGGATCCTTATTATTTCTGATTCTGATTCCTCTGCCGGGGCTTCAAAGGTAATGCTCTCACTTATAATGCTTGTCCAAACAAACTGAGGAAGAACGCTCCGAGGTCTCCCGATAGGAGGGTCCTCACAATGGGGTTCGGCGCGGGGCCTAGGCCCGATGCGAGAAAGACAGACTAATGGACGAAACAAGATGCACACGTCACTCCCTGTTACGGTGAAATTACAGCTGGACACGAAGCCCTAACACTCCAGGTACCTACTATAATGGCCCTTAAGGGCTCTAGTACCCTATATTGTAGGTAACTGGGGGGTTAGGGAAGACCAATGGCCTGGCATTGCGAAGCTGGTTGGCTACGTGCTGGTACATCGAGCCCTGCCGCCTCACGGTCGGACCGAGGCCCCACCGCCCCCACTTTTCGCGTCCGCGAGTCCTTTGCTTCACTTGAGACATTCGGAAGACATGTAACGTTTTGGCTACAGCGTGCGCAGTTTGCAGTCAGCGGTTCTCTCGCGATGCTTTTTTCCAGACTGAGGTGCGACGAAAGCCCAGCAAGGCTTCGACACCGAAGCGAAGTCAGCATCTGCAGAACTCGACCGTTGGAGATCTGAGGCTCTCTTAGATGCTGCTCTAGCTGATTCGAGCTGCCTTGTCTCATGATGGGCATCAATGTGGTTGAGGCCCAGGAGCTGGCCACCGCCCTCGAAGCCTTAGATGTACAGAAAAAGGACGTCGCACCAATTAAGTGCGTTCGAGGTGGAAACCCGCAGCTGCCCTGCATATGACAGGAGCTGCAACAGAAGGCGTCCTCAGAGGAGCTGGATGAGTTCGCTGCTGTGCTGCCATTGTATCTCGAGGAACTTGCCTTGCAGGACTCCGAAAAAGCTTTCGTCGCCAGTCTCCAGAAGGAGCTGGACGAGGCCCTTTCCTGCGCTGGATGCAAGTTTTCGAGCCGACGGAACACACTTGTGGAAACGTTTGTGAGCTTCTGGCACTACCTGAAGGCGATTGCAGCATACGCAGCCTTTGAGGTCAGCGGCGATCTAAGCCTCTAAGCTCCCTGCCAGACTCTTGGGGACCGCTTTTGCTTTGTCGCCAGGAGCAGAACCGAAGCGACGACGTCAACCTGGCAGCTGCTGAAGCAAGGCAAAGAGATGCCGAGACACGCCCCTTCCTTGAGCGTGGGCTTTTTTCACGATTTTGGCCATCTTTGACCTAAACGGCTAAAGCGGGTGTTCTGCCAGCGGACCAAGGCTTACGCGAAGCTGAGCAGGCAGCCAACGATCTTCGATCCGAGTTGCAGGAGGAGGGATCTAGCGAATCTAGCGACAGTATGTGACTGTCTGGACCCCTACTGCCTTTTGGACCCGTTACCGTCAGGAAGGGGAGGGCGCGAGGACTGCCACAGAGGCAGGCTTGCAGGACACTCTGAGGAGAACAGCTGCTTGTCGTTTGTGAGGCGGTGAAGAGAGAGCTGGCCGTCCAAGTGTCCAAAGTTGCCCAGTTGGAGGCTCTCTGCGCGAGCCTCGTTGACAGCGGACACCGCACCGCTCTCGAGGGATCCCTCGGCGAGAATCGCAACCAACTGAAGACCATCCAGCGTCACGTCGACTCTTTGACACAGGCCACGGGCTTATCCCATCGTATCATGCCAAGAACCACAATTTGAAACACCGCGAGATGTGTTTCAGGATCTCCTGGACCGAACGGTCAAGAGTGTACAAGACGAGGCATGTGAAAGTCCAGGTTAGCACACACCACAGATTCTGCGGGCTGCCCTGTTGCCTTCAGCGGTTGGAGTGTCGAACGCTGAAACAAGCGAGACTGGCTTTGCAGCTGGGCCTAGCTTAGAAAATTCCCCAGTAATTATGGGAAACCACATGCTGCTCACATGCTCCTGCAGCGCAGGAGGCTGTCACTTCCTTATCCAAGCAACTCCAGCAGGAGCAGCAGGCAATGCGTCTGACAGGATGGTCAACGCAGCTCCCAAATCCCGCTTGTGCGAGACGAATTTGACAGGCACTGGAGCGATTGCAATCCGAAAAGGCCTGTCCCGAACTGCGCGCGACTGCTCTGCAACTGCGTGGTGCTTTAGTGGAGAGACAGGAGAAGCTCGGGTCGGCGGCAGCTGAAGAACTGGAGAGGGCTGAGGCACGCCAGGGATGGGACACGAACTCTACAAACCCTGCAGTACCAGTAGAGAAAATCACCACTCTGCGACACACTCCTGTTCAGGAGTGCCGACGCAGCAAACAGGCTCTTGAGGAACAGCAGGCTCCCGGGTTGGTCGTGCTTGCAATGACTTCCCAAAAAACATGGCACGATGTGATTCGGCTGCCTGGCTTGGTGCAGGTCCATGTCGAGCTGGTGCAGCGGTCAGACGTGCTGTCGACCACAAAAACTCAGGCCCTAAACCCTGGAAGCATCAGAGGTGAAATGGGGATGTCATGCTTTGGGTGATCCGATGTTGGACGGCTATCGCCCTAAACCCTAAACCCTAAACCCTAAACCGTTCTGTTGAGGCCACGACGGAGCTGACCAGTGCCGTGGCGGAGATTGCGCAGCTGCAGCAGGCCAGGAGGTCTTAGAGCCTGGAATGCAAGGGTTTAGGGTTTAGGGTTTAGGGGGCCCTTGCTCGTGGCTGCAGTTACTTTGCAGCGGAGACATCCATAAATGAGCAGCCTGCTTTGCATCTCGTATCTCGCTTGCTCTGCGGTTAGGTTCAAGCCATAGCCATGTGTTCGCTGGCGATGGCGTAAAGCCTAGAAGCATGTGCAAGGCACATGCTTTGCCTTTGCTTTGGCAAGGAATCTTCTTTCCTTTGGCCATTGCACACAGTGGTTCTGCCAAACCTGCTCATGTACATATTGCATACGATGGCAGTGCTTCCAGGGAGCGTCAGGAGTCTCAGCTGCTTCGCAGAAGCACAGGCTTGAAGCCTGAGGGACCCGAAGAGGACGAAAAGTCGCTGAAGGCGCAGCAGACTGGGTGGTACGTCGAGGATGAGGTGGAAAACACCATTGCGAAGGCTCAAACCTTCGATTTCGACAAAAACCGGGAGCAGATGCTGCGCCACATACACTACACAGCAGCGACCTCCCCCACTGGCAGAGGGCCTGGGGTAGCAAGGGACACCTGGCACATCTCGTCGCACGGTCCTCCCGTCACTGATGAGGCCGAGGGCCGGATCGTGGAAGACCAGCAACGTGCCGAAAAGGCAGGCCTACCGGCAGACTTCAAAAGTGTGCCGCCTGTTGCAGCTGTCATGAAGAAGCCTCCGGTCTCGGCCACACTTCCGCCCAACTTGCCGAAGGATTGCTTCAAGGCACGGCACAGCACCGATATCGGCGAGGATGAAACCTGCCCGGAAGCGTGCCCTCTGTTTGCCGAAGATACGATGGCCGGGAGGCACTGCGTCTTCAAATGCGTGTTGGAAACAGACTGTGGAGTCCACACCAGTGCGACCAACCTCGCCCAGTCTGTCCCGGACACAGATGTTGGCTTCTGCCGGCGATGTTCCTCAGTTTGCAATAAGCAACCTGCAGTTTAGGTGCTGCGACTTCAACTTGCTAGCATGATACTTACTACACACCCTTGGAGTCTTGCCTTGTATTTGCTGTGGTCTTGAAGTAAGGCTCTGTTCCTGGATGCAACCGCTGCAACCGGACGGCACACAGTGACGTCTGCGGGGAGTGCTTGCGCGGCTTCGCCTTGGAAGAAGGAGCATGTGTTTTCCAGGTTCCAATTATAGGAACCTTGGTACAAAGCATGGTCTACATCGCGCTCTTTATTCCCGTGGTTTACTTCATCATTTGGTACGTGAGCTTGGCCACCCGCAAGAAAGTAAACCTGGACGAAGAGGCACAAGCCTTGCAGTTCCGGACGCAGACGAAGCTATGCACCGTCGACACAGTCACCGAAGACGCACCCGAGGAACGCCAGCTTTGGCCTTTGAAGACCAACACGCTTCAGGCACACTGCCCAGTCTAGATACTAAACTAAACTGTAATATTTTACAATATACTACACTACACTCATGCCATAAACCAACTGACATGTCTGGGAATCCCGACATACAGCCGTCTCTTTGGGTGGGCTTCTGCAGCCGTGATAGTGACTGGCACAACCACCGAAATGTTGTGGGGAAGTTCTTCTTTGCAAAGAAGATAGGAAGGAAGAAAGGCCTGGATGAGCCAAGGAAAACACAACACCTAGGAAGGAAGTAAGGAAAGATTGATATTTGGAGAGAAGGACTTCATCACAACAACGACTCATTCATAACCGCCCGTGGCCCCACGATTACTATTCCAAGTAAAGACGCAATGGGCAGTGGAATCGTGAGACTCGAAATATACACCTTCACCAGAACCTTCCCAATAATCATGAGAGGTTTTAACTAACCAGCAGTCACACGAATCACAGTTACCTCACTCGTGGACAAGAGTAGCGGTGCTATCAGGACATTCGCAACTACGTAGCGTAGTACAGAATACCATTAGCAGCCGCGTCGTAAGCAGTTCCCTTAATCGCCATAGCCCCGCCCCTAGCCCTAGGCCCTTTCTTTCGCTGGCCGAAACCCTCGAGGTGCCGGTTGCAGGGCCTGGCTCGGTCCTCTTCTTCCGCTACCAGGTCCTTCAGGGACGAACAAGACAGTTTAGATTTTTGGGATTTAGGTTTAGAGGTAAGGGCCTTGAGGGACAACAGCTTAATATGGAAGGAGCTTTGGGAATGTAAGGGTTTTACAAGGATTTTTGGGGGTCAGGTATGGGCAGTTAGGGGTATGTAACGGTATGTAGGCCGAAGGTGTTTGAGGGTTTAGGGTTTGGGGGAGTATATAATGGTCTAGGCCCAAGTAAGGCTTATTGGTTCACGTTTAGGTGGGTTTCTTGGCTCCCAAGGTGTTCGTCATGATCTTGGCCTTGGTGCTGCTTGTCCTCTGGGTGCCTTGTCCCGGGCTGATCCATTATAGTATACCTATAGTCTATTGTAAAACCCATAGTAGTCGGTAACGGGCTAGTTACAGTCCATTACATAACATTACTTAAAATATCTTGCAGTCTATCATAATAGATTGTACGTAGTATATAGAAGTCTAGTATAGTACGCATGGGTGTCTGACTGACCGGGACTCCTGAGGGCGCATTCGAGGGGACCAGTGCATCGTGCTTTCAGCTAGGGTTTAGGGTTTTTCGGTCATTTTCGGTCTAGGGAGCGTGCAAGGTCACCTTCCTGGGCTTGACTGGTTCGCAGCTATCTGCCTTGGGTACAGAAGATCCAAAATCTCCGAGAGAGCTGTGCAATGTCATTCACCACGGCTTTGAAGCCCAGCAGACGTATATGTGGGCAAAGTCTTGCTTCGTGTTGGCGGCGTACGTGGTCTCTGTGGTGCTGTGCATGCTCTTCGCCATTCATCAGAGGCGAACCTTCAACCGCAGCAGCCTGAGACTTTCACAGGGAGACCGAGAGCTGCCCTTTCTCGTCCATGTGCCTACCCTAACCCCTAAACCCGAAACCCTGAACCCTAAACCCTAAACCCTAAACCCTAAACCCTGAACCTTACGTTAGTAGACTCCGAGGGTTGAACGTCTTCTCCACGCACGCAGACTTCGTGGCTCTCCTGGACGGCCTGCCAGCGATCAGCGGCTCAGAGGAGTTGGAGGAGGTGCTGAAGAAGGAGATGGAAAAGGCCAGCTCCGAGGTGCCTCGTTTGGGGTTTAGGGGTTAGGGGTTTAGGGTTTAGGGTTTAGGGGTTTAGGTTAGGGTCTAGGGGTGCCTCGATATCGAATGGAGCCATCGTTCGGGTATTTTTTCCATCGTCATAGTCATGTCAGTCCCAGACCAAGGAAATTGTGGGTGTCTCCATAGGCTGGCATGTGGGCGATGACACCAACCGGTACAACGAACAAATCTCCAAGATCCTTGAGGAGGATGTCCTGGCCTTGGAAAATCTCAAAGCCGAGCAGGACAAGGCAGGCGAGAAAGAGGCTGACGAGGTTCAGACTTTTTCGAGGCAGCGGCCCAAGTGGTTGCGGATCTTCGACAGAGTGATTCTGACGGGCATGCTCGGCATTGACACTATACCACCACCGCCAGAAGAGCTCGCTGCGGCTCAGGCTGCGCCGGCACAAGGGGACGGGAAATCCGAGGCTCAAGGGGCGGAGAAGGAGAAGGATGCAACAGCCTCCTCTTCCGCCCAAGAGGTCGAGAAAGAGAAGGCTGCTACCGCCGGGAAGGCTTCAGAGACGGAAAAGGCGGAAGCCAAGGTTTCGTCAGAGCCCCCTGAGGCTCTTTGCACCAAGTTGCAAAGCTCTCCGACAGCTGTTGTAGTGTTCAGAACAGAAACTGCCCGAGACGCTGCCCTCGAGAAGTGCAAGAGCATTCCATTCCGCGAAGCAACGCTGACGCTCAAGCCCCTTGTGACAGAGCCCTTGGGCATCCTCTGGGAGAACATGAGCATCCCCAACAAACTGCGACGGGAGCGGCTTTTCGCAAGCATCAAAATGATCGCTCTCGCCGGTGCAGCTTGGGCCGTTTGCATCTACCTCCCCTATGCCTTCTATGCAGCGTCCTTCTCTTACTCAAACGGAGACAAGCCGTCGGCGCTCATGAACATGTCCTTGACGCTCATCGTGGTGCTGGGGAACCTGATCATGTACACGACTTGCGCAGAGGCAGCCAAGCGTATTGGCCACATGCTACGAGACACCGAAGCAGGGGTTTACATGGTCGCCGACCCAGCGAACGCAAGCATTGTAGAACATGCAAGTATTGCAAGTGTCTACCACGTGCCACAAACCTCTCCTTGTTGTCGTTCGAAGGTGCTCTACACCTTTGCGATTCTCTTCAACATTCTCTTAGATGCTGCTGTGGGTGGTTACATCGCATATCGAACAGCGGTGTCTCGAACGAGAAGAGCCAGCAGGCCAAACTGACACAGCAAACTGCAGTGCATCTGCTCAGGTCGCCAATCACGCACGAACCTACGGTGGCGTCCTCGTCTCCGATCTTACACGTGCCCAAGCTCTCTTCGAGAGCTTCGAAATTCAGCTGCTTGGTCGCAGTCGGAATTGCAAGTCACGTGGCTTAGCGTTCCAGAACTTGGAGGCTCATGGGTAGTCATAAGTGGGGTTATAAGTCCCCTGACAGGGGTTATAATTATAGCTACCCTACGTATAACCCTACTTATAACTACCCATGAACCCCAAACCCTAAACCCTTAAAGGAACCCCCATAACCCTACTTATAGCTACCCCATGAACCTCCAAGAAGCCGAGGCGGCAGCTCGCCTTTCAAGTCTACAAGTATTGCTGGCCGTCTACGTTTCTGGTTCCCTTCATAGGAGCCGCAGGGATGGAAGCCGAGTTTGCTGAACTGCCCACGGTTTTTTCGCAGAAATGCCTCGAATCAGACCCCTAAACCCTAAACCCTAAACCCCCTTCAGGAGAAGCTCTCTTCGCTAATTGCTTCACGCTACATCTGGCACGCCTCGTTGTCAAAACGTTTCCGCACATCAAGGGCTACAAAGCCCAGCAGGCCGGCCTAGCTGATGTGTTCGTCGGCATACCAGCCGTTCTGTCGACAAGCTGCCTGTCTCCATGCATGCTTGTCAGGCTTTACAAGTCTTTGTGCCCATGGACTCTGGACGGTATGCTGACGTGTTAATCAACATTGCCGCAGCAATTCTGATCTTCTTTCTGCCTGGTGGCTACACTATAACACTCTTCGTTGGCCTCATCCTGTCGCACGTGCGTCCCGGATGAGCACAGCAGTGTCAGTCGTTTCAATTGATCTACTTGTGATGCACCGGGTTTCAAGCACCCAGCGGTTTGCAAGATGTCCTGGCCTGGCTCAGATTCATCATCTGCTTCGATCACTTCCGAGTTCTGCGATGCGTCCCATCTTTCTGCTTCAGCAGTGGCTTGGCAAATTACTCCCACCAGATCCGTCGAAAAGGGAGCAAACCTAGCGGTCGCCGCGGTCCATAGAAGATCCACATGCCGAAAGGGCTTCATTCAGGGGTTCAAGAAAAGCCAAGGCTCTGTGGTTGATGACTATGCTCAGCTACTCCTCATTATTCCCTGTTCGCTCATGCTGGCAGCACCTTGACTTGGAGTTCATCAGGCACATGGCACTCTGGGCTTAGAAGAACGGTGCTCTCTCATTGTCGGTTCTGTGACCCCAGGAGCGCTTCGATCTCTCTCCTGCTCTCTGTGACTCCCCAGTGCCTCCCTTTAAAGCAGACTACAGACATCAGCTCTCCAGTTCCAGCAAGGCTTCCATCTTCCAGTGCTGTCTTTGTCTTCCAGCTTTGCGATCGTTCTGGACCAACAAATGAGTCCCTAAACCCACACCCTAAACCGCCCCTTTTTTTTTTTTGGGGGGGGGG